TCATGTTGGCTTTACAGATCTGATGTGGTAAAACTGATCAGCCAAATGAAATACCCAATACAATAGCATATCCAAAAAAGAAAAAGAAGAAAAAATATCTCGCACCAAATTTCAACTCCATATCTTATTCGTGACTGTAGTAAAAGGGAGAAAATGAAAGTCCGGTGTTTGACCTATTTTTCCTGTATTTAACTTCGTTCAAAAATTTTAAAACATTGAGGTTAACATAACGCATATTACAAATTTTTTTTTTCAAACTTTTTATCGTAAACTGTAGTTGTAAAAAATGGAAAACTATTATTCCCTAATTTTTCTCTAATATTTTCGGTTAAAAAAATAAAAAACAAATACATCCATTAAAAAAGTATTTTCGGCTTCTAATTTGGAAGCATTCTTTTTTCAATATATTTATTAAATAATCTTAAATGGATTCACATTCATAATATATAAAAATGTATTTGTTAAAGAAATTAAATTCAATTATCAAGTATTTCTGTGTCGCAATTTGTTATATCCTGGAACGTGAAACGTTATTGCAACTACATCATTGACGGACAGGTTGGGAGTCTTGCCTCTTAATGTCTACATATTTGGTATCTTATCGCTGTATGTGCTATGTTTTAAATGCAGCACATTCTGTATTAAAACAAGCTATAGAACTAATTCGGTTTTACCAAGCCAGTAGATAAGAGAATCTATAAGATTGCGGTTACATTGGCTGAGAGTTTGATATAATATTCAGTTTGGTTGACTGAACATAAGTCTCACAATGCACATTATATTAAATAATCAATCGTTTATGATTATTTTTCATTATTTATTTTTGTATGTCTTACAACCGTGCAAAATGAACGTTTGACGTCATTTAGTATGATAATCGTTTAGCAATTTTTACATTGTGATAATGGACACTTTAGGTTTAAGACCAAAAGCAACTAGAACAAACGCAGGATTACAGTGAAATCGCGCGGAAAAAGTCGCTTGTATTGGGTCTAATATATTTCATTTTCGTAATTGTCTTCGTCCTTTTATTTGTGTATATTCATTTGCATGTACATGTACATGTACATGTACATCTACACGACTTTTTTTAAAGATAATTTGATTTTATGAGCACATGTTAAAACGTTTAAACACAATCCACATACAGGGTGTCCGCACCAAAGTGTAACAGCGTGATACTTCATGAACTATTGATGTCACGAAAAAGTGTTCATATGGAAATTGCAGGGTAAAAGAGGCTCTATGTTTTGGCGGAAGCAAAATTTTTTTATTGTTATTAATGTAAAAGATATGATGGTGAAGTTTCGTTTCTTAAATGGAACTATATTTTTTTTTTCGATCAGGCGATAGTGCTTTTCAAGACGAATTCATCAAGGTTTTATGTACTTACCCGATTTTTATTAATTTTCGAGATATAACGCTTAGAAATTTACTGATTTTCAGCAGAAACATCACGATTTGAGTAGTAAGTCATAAAAACGGTCTTATTGGTGCGGTAAGTACCGCGGGTTTGACTTTGCCTGCTAAAACTGATAGCCGGGGGCCTACAGTCCCAACGGTATGTCCGAAGAGTACGAAACGTGGAAAGAATTGTCCATTACGCTCTAAGTTTTCCGCATCGAGGATGATGTTCAATTCTTTCCACATTTTGTACTTTTCGGACATACCGTTAGGACTGTAGGCCCCCGGCTATCAGTTTTAGCAGGCAAAGTCAAACCCGCGGTACTTACCGCACCAATAAGACCGTTTTTATGACTTACTACTCAAATCGTGATGTTTCTGCTGAAAATCAGTAAATTTCTAAGCGTTATATCTCGAAAATTAATAAAAATCGGGTAAGTACATAAAACCTTGATGAATTCGTCTTGAAAAGCACTATCGCCTGATCGAAAAAAAATATATAGTTCCATTTAAGAAACGAAACTTCACCATCATATCTTTTACATTAATAACAATAAAAAAATTTTGCTTCCGCCAAAACATAGAGCCTCTTTTACCCTGCAATTTCCATATAAACACTTTTTCGTGACATCAATAGTTCATGAAATATCGCGCTGTCACACTTTGACGCGGACACCCTGTGTGTATACAAAACTCAAGTTATTACATTAATGTGTGAATGTAAACATAAATTTACATGTTCATAGTACATGATCGCTCTTTCTCACTTAATTTTATTTTATTTGTTATATACTTTTAATAAATGCAATTCTTTTTGTTTGTAATTAATTCAAAGGCATTGTCAACGATTGTGCTCTAACATTTATCATTCGAATAATGGCTTTTGTTTTAGATATTTAATTATTTACTACGGTCCTGATAGAGACACTATATTAGAATTCGTTCCACTTCTGTTTATTAACAATGCTAGAAAAGATTACTCATGCAGATTTTAGACAGTTATAAAAAACTACCCAGCAAACAGAAGTCCTAATCTCTGTTTTACCTGATCTTCCGATTTAGTCTTTAATTGCTGGATCGTCCTCGATGTGCTAAAAAGTAAAACCTCCCGATCTAGTAATTACTAAAATTTTCTTTATGAAGAAAAAACTTTTGTCATCACATGAGAGTTGAAACGATTGGCACTTAGCTGTTAATGAAGGTCAATGTTAAACGTTGAACCGCGATATCTGAATAATTGATCATCTTGCCTGATGAAATCTATTCAGATTGTTCTTCAGTAAATTAAATGCACATTTTCAAAATTTCAGCTAATTTTACCGACATCCGATTTTCATAAGAATTGTGCAGAATCCGTTGGACGTTGAATTATAGTTCAGGAAATTCATGCATAAATAATATTAGGCCAGAATCACATTAAAAAATGTCTCATAGGGTGTTTTAGTATCTCTTAATGCGACATACCAAAACGAAACCCCGTAATAGATCGAAAATCCTACATTATCGTAGAATCGGCGTGTAATGTGTTAATGATTTGATGTATAATCACCTTAAGTACTGACAATAATCGATTTACACTTTCGTACAGTGGCGGATACATGCTTATGAACACAGCATTAGTTGGAGTTCCAGGAACTAGGTCATAAAAATTAAATGAGGTGTAATTAAGTACTGACGATAATCGATTTTCACTTTCATAGAGTGGCAGACACATACTTATGAAAACTGCATTAGTTGAAGTTTCAAGAACTAAATAATAAATATTATATGAGGTCATTTTCATTTGGTAGTTTAAAAGTATAACGTATATGTGTAGTGCTTTTTTAAATGTTTCTGCGTCAAGAACTATATATAAAGCATGTAGAACTGCACAAAATAATGTTCCTTGAAAACAAAAACTTCGTAAAACGGATGTCCACACTGATCGTGTGATCCATCGAACCTCTAAAGCCGATCGTTTTAAAACTGCTATAGATATTTTATACTGAAATATCACCGTACTTGAAGCAAGAAATAGATCAATGAAGCAAGATCAATGTCGCTTAAACGAAGTTAACCTAATAGGGAGAATAGTTCGAAAAAATCCTCTAATATCCAAAGAGAATAGACGTGCTAGATTTTAATTTGCAAAAGTTCATATTAAATGCACAGCAGAAAATGACATATGAGACGTACAGCTGGTGAACAATATAATAAAAATTGTACGAAACCAACCGTCAAAGGTGGAGACAGATCAGCACTAGTCTATGAGCCTAATAAGGGTAATGGGGGTACTGGTCCAATAAGTTAGATTATAATTAGGAATTATAGACCGTTTTGCATATCTAGACATTGAGAAAAATGTTCTTCTTCCATTTGCTAAAAATAAAATGCCAAATGATTTGCAGTGACCACACTGCACGTGTGGTTAAAAAATGTCTTAGAAAAAAAAAATTAACCTATATCGGTGATAAGTCACCTCTCACAAAGTAGTGACAATATTACTTTGGCGCTGCGGTAGCACGTCACGTAGAATGTGACAATGATGGCATCTGTCGAAATTCTAATTTTCGAGAAGGTGAAACTGCGCGATATGGAACGCCATTAACAACAAACAATGAGAATAGATTAGATGGAAAACTACGCCTTGCAACTTGATTCTAAAGGAAAACATAATGATTGCTTAATATGTTCTAATTGTAAGTTGCTTGGAGAAAGAAGAACAACATTATACATACTTCCGTGAAACGTGCACCAGAAAACCATTCCTTCATGTTGGAGGTTGTTTCAAAAAATATCATACATTAAAAACTTATAAATAATTACATATTTGAAACCCACATATTTGTAATATACTTTCAAAACAAAAATGTTATTCTTATAATACTGAAGATTTTTCGCATATTTACCGAAATCAGGTACAACCTACTGAGAAGCATATATAAACAACTAGTGACTGATAAGGGTTAAATATCATGAAATGGCTTGCTCAGTCCCGAGACCTCAATCCTATAGAGATACTATGAATTGATATCGATCGTGAAATAAAACGCCGGGAACCAAAAAATATCCAACATTTATTTGAAGCGATTGAAGAAGGGTGAAAATTCAAACCTGTGGATAGATGTATACATACGTTTAATTAATTCTATGCGACGACGTTGTGCTGAAGTGGTAAAAAATAAGGAATATGATACAAAATATTAAGTTAATAATGCTTAGTTGTATTTAGATGTTCCAAAATGCAAAAACGACCAGAAAATATAGTTTGAAAATTATTTTGATAAGTATGTGTTGCTGAAGTGTTATCATTTTGTTTTGGTATATTTCCTATTAATTTCCAATAAAATATATTGTATGTATCCATAGACAATAAGTTGTATTATTTATAATTAATTATCTATGTCCCCTTCATTTTACAATGTAATAAAAGATTGAAAATGATTATGTTCATAAGTATGTCTGCCACTGTATATGCGGAAAGATCAAAGGAAAATTCTCGATCACCATTTTTACTGCATTAATGTTCAATCATATCGTTTTAGAATATGTCTGGAATTAATTTTTTATTTTCTAACAATTTTGACGAGAAATAATATTATTATTTTATACTTTAGGTGTCAGTACTGTTCAAAAACGTTTACTAGAAAAGAACATATGGTAAATCATGTTCGCAAACATACGGGTGAAACACCTCATCGATGTGATATATGTAAAAAGAGTTTTACCCGCAAAGAACATTTTATGAACCATGTTATGTGGCACACAGGAGAAACTCCACATCATTGCCAAGCCTGTGGGAAAAAGTATACAAGGAAAGAACATCTTGCAAATCATATGCGTTCACATACCAACGACACACCATTTCGTTGTGAAATATGTGGTAAGTAATCTACTTTTCACAAGTAATATATTATTGTTAAGTCTTACATATGTTACAATATTTCTAATTTTATTTTTATTATAAAAAACTTTCTTTATATGGTGTTTTCTAATACGGAGCTATCGAATGATATTTTAACATAAGCTAGTTTTCAGGAAAATTAAAAAGTCTATTTTAAAGGAGAATTTTTATTTTTTATTTTTATCTACTTTTTTCAGTTACTTTGTTTAAATAAATGCGTGCTATTTGTCACTAAATCGTCCATATTTTATTATATTAAAGAACATTTATTAAAGTTTCGACGAGTATTTTTGTTTTGTAGAAATTTCTGCAGGTTTCAAAACTTTGTTGTCAAATTCAAAATTAACATTGGCTTTTTATCGAATTATCTAATATAATTTTTCTTTTGAAGTCGAATATTGAATTTGAACAATAATTGTAAGAATGGTGGCAGATTAAAAAAAGTTGTGTATTTTACCAAATTACTTTGACCTACAAAAAAAATATGCAGAGTGTCCCAGTTTTTTCCGGCCAAACTTTGCCAGCGTGTTCTGCCCGCAAAAGCAAGAAAAAAATGTTATATGAATGTATGGTTTTAAATGTTTTATTAAGGCGTTATAACTAACAATACAAAATTATAATGAACTGGCATTTCATTGACACAACGTACGTATTCGTATTAACGAACTTCATTTTAAAATGTTAACTCCTTAATAAAACGTTAATAAAAAATGTAGATATCAACTACCAAAGCAAGCAGATATAAGAGTTTATGTAAACAGAAATTGAGATACAGTGAGTCCCAAAACTATTCGTACCCTCACAACTTCTAACTATAAATGATTATTTGTATGTTTAACAAATTGTAACAAATATTATATTGATTGGGTAAGATAATACATTTAATGAGCTTTCAATAAATATAAATTTTATTTCAAAACTAACCGTGCGGAATAATACATATAAATATCATACTGAGTAAATATGCTCGGAAACAGCAACATAAAAGTATTCGTACTCTTCAATTCTATGCATATAAGAACCAAAATATTTGCCAATATAGCTTTGTATTGATACCTATAATAAGGGAAATGATAGATTGGCCATCAGTAGACAACATTACGTTGACGGTACAATATTCTCTCGATAATTACCAAAATGAATCGAAAAGGTAGTGAAATTTCAATAGCAGTAAGAAAATTAATTTGGAAATTGCATAACGAAGAAAAATCGTACAGTCACATAGCAAACACTATTGATAGAAGTAAATCTACTATTCAGTATGTTATTAAAAATATAAAACAGAATGGTACAGTATTAAATAAACCACGTACAGGGCGGCCTCGAAAATTGTGCGAACGAGAAGAAAGAATGTTAGTGCGAGAAATTAAAAAAAATCCTAAAACTAGTGGTCCAAAATTAGCTACTACAGTGAATATTCGATATGTGCACCAAAGTTATCCCCACCACTGGGGGGGAAGCCCCTTCAGACGCCGAGAAGCTCGATCGCCGAGAAATGTAACATGATCCGGGGTCGGGTATATCCATGAAGCAATACATATACAAATATAAAACTTTTTTATTTTTGATTTTTTCGAGATCCAACTTTTACCAATAGATTCTTTATATTTTTCTGATTAAAAGAAGACCAAACACGATATAATTTGGACTATATTTACTGGTTTAATTGACGATGAAAGTTTTTCACGTCGAAGAGGATAGGGAGTCAAAAAGAAAGAGACGCTACGATCGTGGCAGTTGGCAAACATCAAAAGTCTATTCAATTGTTCACAATCCTAATACGTTGCTAACTTTTTTATTTTTTATCAAATTTTTATAAAACTTTCTCTGTCATGTTCGTGACATTTTCCTGATTAAAATGAGACCAAACACGACGTAATTCGAGTTATATTTACTTGCAATATCTTATTAGAGTAAAGTCATCGATGTACGCGTAACATTTGAAATTACAAGCAAATATGTCCCGAAGTATATCGTGTTTGGTCTCATTTTAATGAGAAAAATG